TGGTATTCGTGTTAAATAATATATTTATCTAATTTTATTTATTAAAGATAAAATATTATTTTTAGCTTAGCTTGTATATAATCTCTCTATATTTAAGTTAAGCAATGCACTTTAGTATAAACTGATTAAAGAGAATTCCAATTTTATTTTTTTTCATGTTTGTATTGATTGAATTACTCTAACAATTTTGAAATCCAATAGCTAGATATAGTATGGCTACCAAGAAGATGGACATGAATGTGTAAGCTATATTGAAAGATGCAAGGTAAAAATTATTAAAAACTACCACCAAGTGCGAAAAAAAAGTTATTAATAGACATTATCATGCTAAAGTATTAAAAAAAGAGATAGGTTATAGTATTTTTAAGTGAAAAAAGATTCATAGTAAGTTCGTGCAATAAGTTACAACAAAAGAAATATGATTATTACACCGTAATAAAGAATGTTAACAACTATGCTTATATTATTTATTTGATAACATGAGTATTTTTAAAATATTTAATGTTTTGATATTAATTCCTATTATAATAACAAAACTTTATATCCCAAAATTTAAAGTTGACTTAAGGTCAAGTTTTTTATAAGTAGAGATGACTAACATGGAATGACATGTTACGAATATGTTAATAAAATAAATAAACTAAGGCAAGCTTGTGATTCTACCTAGATACTTAAAACGAGCAACTTGATAAAAATAATTATAATTTTAGATTTAATTATTAAATTAAATTTATATTTTTTTAGATGATTAACTTATTGTAGCCAATTAAGGTTCATAAGACTTTCAAATTTTTGTTATTTTAATTATTTTCTAGTTAATTTTAGATTCTAATTACTTTTCCTAATGGGCTTTGTATTCTTTTGGTTAGATGAGTTTTAAACCAACATATAAACAATATAAACAATCGTGTGTTATTTTTCTATAGATTTCTAAATTAAAATTATTTTTCCTGATGAGTTTTTACTTCTTTATAATAATTTTGGGTTGTATTTTAGAACACTAGTTTTTTTATTCGTATTATTCATTGTATTTGTATATATTTTTATTAATTTTTGAATTGACATATCTTTTTTTTATATAACAACTTATAAGATAATTATCCTTAAATTTTTATGTTTTAAAATCCAAAAACTCACGTGTTAATAGAATTGACACTGATCAAAATCTATCATTTTTTTTATATGTTTTTTTAAATATACACAGGGACATGATAAGCGACATGAAGTTAATAAAAAGTTATATTAGCACAAAATTATATTGATAAATTAACTCTTTTTTTTAATTTTTCCTGTAAAAAAAAGTTTTGGAATTCAAATATTCTGGAATATTGATAAATTAACTTTTTTTTTTAATTTTTCCTGTAAAAAAAAGTTTTGGAATTCAAATATTCTGGAAAAAAAAAATGGTGAATCTGTAATGGATGAAGGCTCGCTTGCACCAGCATTCGGTGGCGGAACCACATAGAGGCAAGAGGGGATAGCTGCCCCTCCTACAGTGCACAAATGTAATTAATATTTTCTATCTGGTTAAATAATTTTTATTCTCTTCTAATAATCTTGCTTATAATAATTATTTGGAGAGATTTCTCAGCTCCTCCTGGTACAGCTTTTGCAGCGTATTGAAATTGGACTTTGAAGGCTTTAGTACATGTTTAATGTGCAGCTCGTCTTGCTCGTAGCTACTATTCTATATTTTATCTGCTGATTATTTTCATTCTATATTTGATGTTCACCTTCCAAACTCAAGGCTATAACTAATGACATAGTAAAGGTTGTCGAAACAAAAACTTTCATTAAATAAAGTGGAACTTTAAGAATAGCAGCTGGGATTACATAAGCTCGAGCAGGATAAAATTACAACTCTCTCTGCTTATAAGAAACTGCAAGTCGGGAGATAGTCATTTGCAACCAGTTTGTCATGTTAAAATATTAATATAATAACTTCATAGGGTTAATTTTTTTTGTTAGCTATTAATTGATCCAAGCTCTTTGTTCCTTTTTTATTATCGATCATGACTATCTTCTTCCTATGTTCTTAAAAAGATTTAAAAATAAATAAATAAAAATTTATTATATATATTAAGAAAGATATTTTTAATAATTAAAAATAACATCATTATAAAGTATTTTTAAAATATAAAATCTAAAAAAAAAAACAATTATAATGTAAGTTTTTTTATTTTAAAAGTATTCTTAAATTAATTTTGCTTGACTTGAGATGTATATATATTTCAAATTAATTTCTATATATAACACATGTATGTATAATATATAATATCAAATATTTGTTAGTAATTTGTCCTCTTATTTAAAATTTTTTGATTCCGCCATTGCTGGCATTGATAGTTAATGGTTATTGGTCTTAAAAAAAAATTATAGGAGTAAATTAACAGTGTTATTTTTTATGTAACAAAAAATTGAGATTCATTAAAGATCACCGCATGCTCTTACCAAGAGCGGAGATAGAAATTTGCTATTAAATAAATATATAATTTTTTTAAGATAATTTATTAATTTATAAATATAAATTTTTAAAATTAACAGTAAAGTTTTAATTTAAATATATTATCTAAAAATTAAAAATAAATTTAAAAGTATATAAAATTAGAGTGAAAGTAAAAATAAATTCATTATTAAAGTTACATTATTTGATATTTTATGGAATATAATTCATCTATAATTGAATCTGAATTGATATTGTAATAACTCATTATTCGAGATAAAATAATAATTTCATATCAACTAAAAATAAATTAAATTTTTTTCTCTTTCAATTTCTCTTTCTTTCACTTGAACCTTCCTTAGATTAATATTTTATAAATTGGACTTTGTAAGTTTACAAGGTTATTGTTTTATTTTTTTTAATTTTTTTCCTTGGATTTTTTTTTATTTTCTTCTCACCTTTTTTTTTTATATTCTGTTTCTGCCCAGTCGACAACATATAAAAGGAATGAAGAACTGATTTGTTTTATTTTTTAATAGCAAATAACTATTTTACCTTTAATGAATCGTTTTGTTTTTACTTGATCTTTTTTTAGCATTATCAAATTCTGTTTATCCTAAAATTTTAACAAGATTTTATTCAATATATTTTAAAATCCCTTATAAAATTTTAACTCAGTCTGATAATCAGATTAAAAAATATATCTAATAATATAAAATTAATCAAACTATAAATTTTTAAAAAATTATAAAATTTTAATCCTAGTTAAAGCATTACATTAAAAGGCTGTATATAAATTTTTAAATTTTTAATTAAAAATTAAAATTTTTCTGTATATAAAATTAATTAAAACTAGAACCACCCGAATCCATGCATGATTCCGCCCTCGGCTATTGCAGTTTACACGCGCTCGAGGTGAAGAATAAGTGAATCCATTTTTCAAAGAAAGGGAGTACTTTTTTTTCTCATTTTATGCTCTGCTGATTTTGCTATCTTTTAATACTTTCACGCAATCCCATGCACAGGCGGGAAGCTAAAGAGATCCAAATGTTTGTTTATTATTTGAATTAGAAAAGTTAATTAATGAAAATACTTTTCAATTAAAACAAAAATTCAAAATTTTTTTTCAATTAACATAGTTTTAATTATATTATATATTCTATTTTAATTTTTTAATTTTGATTCTCTTTCAACTTTTTTATTTATCAAATTTAATCTTTATTTTTTATATTGTTATTTGTTTTAGTTGAAATAATTTATGAAATTAAAATATTTTTTCAATTTTATTTTTCTTTAACCTTTTCACTTGTTAAATTTAATTTTTAATTTTTTAATAAATTTTAAAAAATAAATTAAAATATTAATAAATTATTTTCAGCTTATTTTTTATGATATAATAAAATATTATAAATTATTTTTTAATTCATTTTCCATACATCTTTAAATAGAAAAAAATGAAATAATTTTTAGTAATTTATCTTTCAACAAAATTATTTTTTAACAAATAAATAAATGGATTATAAATTTTTCAAGGATAAAGTTTGTTGCGTGAGATAAAACGTGGCTCCCAATTTTGAAAGGAAACAAAAAAGTCAATCGCCAGCGTAAAAAGTGTTCGTCAGGGTCGTGAAAAGGCAGTCATGATAGCAATTAATAAAGTCTAGATTCTGCTTCTAATCTCAGCCCACCGATTTTTCTGTCTTCAGCAACTCTCTTGTTCCATCCTTGCTTCTACTGTTAGGGCTTCCCTTTTATAGAGAAATGCACTGTTCCCATGTGTTGGACTCCATGCCATTTAGGGGTAGCTAATATATAGCTATAAAATAATTATGCTATTTAATTGTATCCTCATCTTTCTTATCATGTAAGATTGTATAGTTAACGTTATGTTAATATATAATAAATAGATTTCTCCTTATGATGGTAAGGAGACATTCAGCTATTCCACTATCTTGTAAATATCTTAATGGTATCAAAGTTAGGTTTATAAATTTCTATAGCCGATTTATCTTCTCCTTCATTCCTTGTTCTTCCACTCAATACAATGGTGCACATGCTCACCATTAAACTGACTTTCTCCAATTACCTGTTGTGGAGAAATCAATTTGTTCCCCTGTTAACTAGTCAAGAAATGTTTGAATTTTTAGATGGTACAATCATCACTCCAAGTATCATGGTTACAAACTCTAATAGAGTCACCAAGCCAAATCCTTCTTACAGTTCCTGGTTACATACAGATCAAATGCTACTTAGTTTACTTTATTCTCCTCTTACAGAAGAGTCTATGAGTGAGGTGCTAGGACTACAACATTCTTATGAGGCCTGGCAAGTTCTTGAAGCCTCATTTTCCAACAGGTTAAAGACTCGAGAATTACAACTTAAGGATGAACTCCAGCTGATGCAACGCGGCTCTCGATCCATTATTGAGTTTTCTCGACTCTTTAAAGGTTTTTGTGATCAGTTGGCTGCTATTGGTCATGCCATTGATGACACAAACAAAGTCCACTAGTATTTACGAGCATTAGGACCAAACTACAAAATTTTCTCTACCACTATGATGTCACAACTTCCATCATCGTCATTCTTAGATATTGTTCCAAAAGCCTTAAGTCAAGAGATATTTGCACGGTCTGTCAACCATTTGCCTTCCAACTCTGTTTATTATGTACAACAGACTTCCAAAATGACAGGAGTCAAGAAATGGAAATCTCGGCCTTCCACGTCTTCTACACCCTCTATCAACTTGCAATCATCATCCATCTCCTCTGTTTACTGTCAGTTGTGTGACAAAGAGGGACATCTGACCAAACATTGTCGGAGCTTCTTGAAACTCAAGAAGAAACAATCAACTTACCTTGCTAAAACTTTTTCTGCTTGCTCCATTCAAGAACTGCAAAACCCTGAGTGGTTCCCCGACTCTGGTGCAACCTCTCATATGACAAATAATCCTGCCAACTTGGATGATCTGGCTATCTACTTTGGTAATGAAAGGGTGATGGTTGGTAATGGTCAGTCTCTACCTATTTCTCACATTGGTTTTGTTTCCACAGTTGCTCCTTACAGTTCCATTCCTTTGTTTAATGTCTTGGTTGTTCCTGGCATTAAGAAAAATCTTATTTCTATCAGTTAGCTTACCAAAAAAATTAATTGTCATGTAATCTTTGATTCTCTTCGTCTTATCATACAAGATCGCGTCATAGGAACAGTGTTGGGGGTCGATCGATGTGAGAATGGTCTCTATGTCCTCGATTAGCATCGTCATGCTCTTCTTTCACTTTTTTCTGCCCATAAACCGCGTGCTTCTACTCAGTTGTGGCATGCACGCCTTGGCCATCCCAATTATTATATTATTTCTTCTCTTTCCAGGTTATGGTCTATTCTTTGTAGTGATAGATCAGTGTTGAATAATTCCAACATTTATGTTGGTTGGCGACTTGGAAAAAGCCACAGTTTACCTTTTTATCTAAATAATGAACATTGTATCATGCCATTTGATCGATTACATTGTGATTTATAGGGTCCGTCACTAGTATCTTCTATTACTGGATACAGATATTATGCTATTGTTATTGATGATTATACTAGATTTAGTTAGATGTTTCCTTTGAAACACAAATCTGATTTGTTTGATACATTTGTTAATTTACAACATTATATTGAGACTCAATTCTCCATAAAAATAAAATCTTTCCAATGTGATGGTGGAACGGAATTTACAAATAATAAGTTTTGCTCTCACTTGCACTTTTGTGGTATTGTTCTTCGTCTAGCATGTTCTTACACTCCCAGTCAAAATGGTGTTGCTGAACGTAAACACCATCATGTCACAGAAACCGATCTTACCCTTATGTTTCATGCCTATATGCCAGTTTTATTATGGGTCGAAGCCTTCTCTACTGCTGTTTTTCTCATTAATCGACTCTCATTACCGTTCTTAGATGGCAAAACTCCTTATGAAATCTTGTTTGGTAAGTCACCTGATTACTCTATGCTTCGTACTTTTGGGTATCTTTGCTTCTCTTATTTAAAAGATTACTCACCCCATAAATTGTTTCTAAAATCTGGTCCTTGTGTATTTTTAAGTTACAATACTCTTCATAAAGGTTTTTGTTGTTTAAACCGAAAGACTCATCGTGTCTGTGTTTCACGACATGTTCAGTTTTATGAACATCACTTTCCTCATATTGATGCCTTTTTTCCTATGCAGTCTAATACTGACTATACCTGTTTTTCTGATTGTGCGGACTATGTTCCCAATCCTTCTCATGATGATTTTTGTGACTCTTTATTATCCTCTCCTATTTTAAAATCACCACGTCTGCCTTGTATTGATGTTCCAGGTTCCATAAGTTCTTCTTCACTGCAGGTTCCTATTTCTGCAGCGTCTCTCCCTGCCACTACACCTTTGGATTTCAAGGTTCCTTCTCCTATGTCTTCACCTTCTCCTGTGCCTGCCAACCATCATCATATGATTACTAGGGGGAAAGATGGTATTTTCAAACCACAATCCCATCATACAGTGACTGTTTTGTCTTCTAATCAGTTCTTTCAAGCTCTTCTTGTTACCAAAGAGCCTAAGGGTTTTAAGTCTGCTGCAAAACATCTTAAATGGCTTTTAGCCATGGATGACAAGATTCTTACTTTAAAGAGAAATGATACTTGGACTTTTATTCCTTGGCCTCCATCTTATAATGTTGTTGACTATCGCTGGATCTTCAAAGTTAAACCTTGTCTGGATGGGTCTACTGAACTACATAAAGCATGCCTTGTGGCTCAAGGTTTCTCTCAGGTTCCTGGTCTTGACTTTGGCGACACCTTCAGTCCTGTGGTTCGTCGTACTACAGTCCGACTCATATTATCATTAGCAATTGCTTCTGGATGGCGTTTACATCGGTTAGATGTCAACAACGCTTTTCTTCATGGTTTTCTCAATGAAGAAGTATACATGGAACAACCACCGGGTTACATTGATCCCCTATTCTCTTAGTATTTCTATCACTTAAAGCGTGCTCTGTATGGCCTGAAACAAGCTCTCTGCACTTGGTTCCATTGCTTCGACTCTTTCTTACATACCCTTGGTTTTCACTCCAGTCTGGCTGATTCTTCATTATTTGTTTATCATTCTAAGCTTGGGACTGTGTACTTACTTTTGTATGTTGATGACATAGTGCTCACTAGCAGTAGTTCTTCATTGATTCACACCTTCATTACTCGGCTTTCCAAGGAATTTTCCATGAAAGATTTGGGTGATCTTCATTATTTTCTTAGGGTGGAAGTTAAACCTAATGAAAAGGGTTTGTTTCTTAGTCAAACAAAGTATGCTCTTGATCTCTTACAACGAGCTTCGATGATTGATGCTAAACCGATCTCCATACCTTTTGTTATTGGTTAACATTTATCAGCTGAAAGGCAGTTGTTCTCTGATCCCACTCTATTCCGCTCTCTAGCCGGTGCTCTTCAATACTTAACCATCACCAGGCCAGATTTATCATTTTATGTTAATTCTATTTGTCAATTTATGCATACTCCCACCGAGGATTATTTTCGTGCTCTCAAATGTATTTTACGTTATGTTAAAAGCATAGTTCATCATGGATTTCAGCTATATAAAGTATACACTCATAAACTTCTTGCTTATTCTGATGCGGACTGGGCTGGTTGCCCTGATACACTTCGCTCTACTACCCGTTATGTTATTTTCCTTGGAGCTAATTTAATCTCTTGGTCCTCTAAGAAACAAAGCACTGTCTCTCGTTTAAGTGCAAAAGCCGAATATCGCTCCTTAGCTGTCGCCACTGCTTATGTTGTATGGCTCACTCAACTACTTCGAGATCTTCAGGTTCCACTTCCATCTCCACCCTACATTCTTTGTGATAATCAAAGTGCAATATTTATGGCTATCAATCATGTTACTCGCCCTCAGTCAAAACACATTATCATTGACTATCACTTTATTCGAGAACTTATTGCTAATGGCTCTGTGAAAATAGGCTTTGTTCCTTCCCATCTGCAGCTCGCTGATTCGCTTATTGAAGGAGTCACCAAGCCTCAGTTTTTTCTCTTTCGAAGCAAGCTTAGTGTTCTCCCTTCTCCCACATTCAGCTTGCAAGGGGTGATAAGGGAGAATCTCATGATTCTCCATAATATACGCTGCAATCCCTTTTGTTACTATAATATTGCTAATGTATAGCTGTAGGATAATTATATTATTTAATTGTATCCTCATCTTTTCTATTATATAGGATTGTATAGTTGATGTTATGTTAATATATAATAAATAAACTTCTCCTTATGATGGTAAGGAGACATTCAGTCATTTTCACTATCCTGCAAACATTTTCAAGTTTAATCCTTGTTTCTTGGTGCTTCTTTAAAATGTCCTGTTTCTTAGTGTGTGTTTTTTTCTTCTTCTTCTTCTTAATTCTTTAAAATGTCCTGTTTCTTGGTTCAATTAATCTTGGTTCAATTAATCAAATAGTTCCTGGAAGAACAATGATCCCATACTATATAATTGAAAATGCATGTCCAGTCTATTTGCAGGAATTATAGTTTTGAAGATGATATTTTCATTTTTTATATGCTTTGAATTCCTCCATTGTGTTATCCACAGCTTCCCACGTCCTAGTGATCTACCCATGGCACGTGGCCTGCAATAATTAAGAGAAAGCAAGGCCGGTGGGGGTATTTGAATCGGAAAATGGGTTTTTGATAATCAAGAGGTCATTATAGCTGCTGTGAAAATTATGAGCTGGCTTTGTTCATGTGTTCAAGAGATTGATGATTGAGTGGGAGTCCAACCAACGATGGGGTCCACATGTGTGTATTTTATTAATGGGTTTTTAAAAAATATTTTTTATTTCAAAAGTATCGAGTTAATAAATTTTTTATTTTTTAAAATTTATTTTTAATTTGAATACTATAAAAGATTTAAAAACACTAATTAGATCCTAATTCCAGCAAATAAAATGATGAATAAAAATTCTTCAAAGTTTTTACAGCTCCACAGACAACACTTGAAGGGCACGTCCACGCCCACTTGCTACCAAATATATATATATATATATATATTAAAAGTCCAATTACACCTTATCCCACATCAAAAATAAATAAATAAATAAAATGCTGAAATTGCCCTTTCTTCAAGATAAAATAGTGATTTTATTATACTAATTCACAAAGAAATGTGAATATATGCATACTGAAATGTTGAGCCTTTTTATTTTGTTTTAATGGATTCAATACATTTTCTGATAATTAATTGTGATTTTTTATTGGATCAGTTCTTGAAAATAAAGTTGACCTAGCTAATCTTCTTTCTTTTCCATAAATTGTTTACATCTTAATCGAAATTAAGTATTTTTTATTAACAATCTTAAAAATATACATTTAACATCGATTTACTATAATTAAATAAATTTATTTATTTTTCTGAATTATAATACAACACATGAATCTTAAAAAGTATTTGAGGAAAATGTCCTTGATGGCTCAGACGGGGGAAAATGCTAATTTCCATATACAACGTAGTAATTTCGGCGGACCACTTGTGCTCCCCGCCTCCACCTGCTGGTTGTACTTTGAGACAACATATTGTGCTCAGAACTCTCGATCGAAGACACTGCCAGTTCTCTTTACTCTCTCTTCCTTTCCCCTCATTCTTTAGCGGGAATGAAGTTAATAATTAAGTATGCGTGTCATACAATTTTTTTTTTCTATTTTTATTTTATGTAAAATAAAATACCCAATTAATATCCGTGTCATATGTTTGTGATTCTGATATTTTTATTGATTTTAAAATATGGATATTATGAAGGTATAAATTGATATTTTAATACTTTATAGAATAGTTTTAGATTTTTTTAAAAATAATAAATTATAATTTTTATTTAAAAAGTGGAGAGCAACTATATGCTATGTAAAAAACTATGAAAATAAAATATTAAAATCAGCATTTTAGACGTGATAATTTTTTTTTTGAAATAGAGATTTAGAAGTTTTTTAATTTATTTTTAAATAGAGATTTAAAAGATTTTTCTTTGATGGTTCCATATAGATTATTCTCAAAGGCCAGATAATTGGATAGCTTGAAATTTGCACCAATTCAGTTTTTAAAAAATTATTCAAAATTAAAAATTATTAAATCTATAAATAATAATTTTTTAAATAACTCTAAATTTATCTAATGGGATCTTAGAAACTCTCAAATAATTTTGTTTTATAATTTTTATCACGTCTGATATTTAAGAACCCAACAATTAGATATAGTAGATTTGATCTTTATCTCTTTAATTGTTATTTATTTTAGTTAAAATAATTTATTAATTTCATTCTTCTTTAATCTTTTCACTTATCAAGATTGATTTTTAATTTTTTAATAAATTTAAAGAAAAAAATTAAAAAAATATTTTTAGTTTATTTTTCATTGCACGGTAAAAATGACTATGGATGGGTAAGCTATATTTGAAAACGCAAGTCAAAAAAAATTGAAAACTAATGCCAAATACAAAAGGGTTGTTGACAAACACTTTCACGCTAAAGTGTTTAAAAAATGAGATGAGTGTTCGCATTTCTATGTAAAGAAAGATGTCTAGCGGGGTTGTGTAATAAGCCGCAGCATACAAAATATGGTTATCAAGAATAATAATACTTATATTATCAATTTAATTTACTAGATAACATGAATATCTTTAAAATTTTTAATGTTTTTAATTTTTATTTTTATTAAAGTTAATTCAAGACCAAGTGTTTAACCAGCAGAACTATTAACATATAATAATATATTGCAAATATATTTATAAACTAGATAGACCACGAAAATCATATAATTTTGTCTAAATGCATCAAGCATGCAACTTAATAAAAATAATCATAAATTTAGATATGATAATTGAACTATATTTATATATTTTTAGATGATTTACTCGTTGTAGATAATCAAGATTTGTAAGAATCTCAAATTAAATTTTTAGAAGATATTGCTTTTTTTTATTTTAATTATTTTTATAGTCAATTTTGGATTCTTTTAATTATGTGAGTTTTAAACCTACATACAAACAATATAAACAATTTTTCTATCATATTACTAAATTATATATATTTTTTAAAAAATATTACATTTTTTAATTTCTTTATAATTCTAGGTTTCTTAATGTTTTGGAACACAAGTTTTTTGTTCATATTAGAGTTCTTAGATGGCAAAACTCCTTATGAAATCTTGTTTGGTAAGTCACCTGATTACTCTATGCTTCGTACTTTTAGGTGTCTTTGCTTCTCTTATTTAAAAAATTACTCACCCCTTAAATTGTCTCTAAAATCTGGTCTATATGTATTTTTAAGTTACAGTACTCTTCATAAAGGTTTTTGTTGTTTAGACCGAAAGACTCATCGTGTCTGTGTTTCACGACATGTTCAGTTTTTTGAACATCACTTTCCTTATACTAATGCCTGTTTTCCTATGCAGTCTAATATTGACTATACCTGTTTTTCTGATTGTGTGGACTATGTTCCCAGTCCTTCTCATGATAATTTTTGTGACTCTTTATCATCCTCTCCTATTTTAAAATCACCATGTCTGCCTTGTACTGATGTTCCAGGTTCCATAAGTTCTTCTTCATTGCAGGTTCCTATTTTTGCAGTGTCTCTCCCTGCCACTACACCTTTGGATTCCAAGGTTCCTTCTCCTATGTCTTCACCTTCTCCTCTGCCTGCCAACCATCATCATATGATTACTAGGGGGAAAGCTGGCATTTTCAAACCACAGTCCCATCATGTATTGACTATTTTGTCTTCTAATCAGTTCTTTCAAGCTCTTCTTGTTACTAAAGAGCCTAAGGGTTTTAAGTCTGCTGCAAAACATCCTAAATGGTTTTTAGCCATGGATGACAAGATTCTTGCTTTAAAGAGAAATAATACTTGGACTTTTGTTCCTTGGCCTCCATCTTATAATGTTGTTGACTATCGTTGTCCGGATGGGTCTACTGAACGACATAAAGCATGCCTTGTGGCTCAAGATTTCTCTCAGGTTCCTGGTCTTGACTTTGGCGACACCTTCAGTCCCGTGGTTCGTCCTACTACAGTCCGACTCATATTATCATTAGCAATTGCTTCTGGATGGCGTTTACATCAGTTAGATGTCAACAATGCTTTTCTTCATGGTTTTCTCAATGAAGAAGTATACATGGAACAACCGCTGGGTTACATTGATCCCCTATTCTCTCAGCATTTCTATCACTTAAAGCGTGCTCTGTATGGCCTGAAACAAGCTCTCTGCACTTGGTTCCATTGCTTCGACTCTTTCTTACATACCCTTGGTTTTCACTCCAGTCTGGCTGATTCTTCATTATTTGTTTATCATTCTAAGCTTGGGACTGTGTACTTACTTTTGTATGTTGATGACATAGTGCTCACTAGCAGTAGTTCTTCATTGATTCACACCTTCATTACTCGGCTTTCCAAGGAATTTTCCATGAAAGATTTGGGTGATCTTCATTATTTTCTTAAGGTGGAAGTTCAACCTAACGAAAAGGGTTTGTTTCTTAGTCAAACAAAGTATGCTCTTGATCTCTTACAACGAGCTTCGATGATTGATGCTAAACCGATCTCCATACCTTTTGTTATTGGTTAACATTTATCAGCTGAAAGGCAGTTGTTCTCTGATCCCACTCTATTCCGCTCTCTAGCCGGTGCTCTTCAATACTTAACCATCACCAGGCCAGATTTATTGTTTTATGTTAATTCTATTTGTCAATTTATGCATACTCCCATCGAGGATTATTTTCGTGCTCTCAAATGTATTTTACGCTATGTTAAAAGCATAGTTCATCATGGACTTCAGCTGCATAAAGTATACACTCATAAACTTCTTGCTTATTCTGATGCGGACTGGGCTGGTTGCCCTGATACACTTCGCTCTACTACCCGTTATGTTATTTTCCTTGGAGCTAATTTAATCTCTTGGTCCTCTAAGAAACAAAGCACTGTCTCTCGTTTAAGTGCAAAAGCCGAATATCGCTCCTTAGCTGTCGCCACTGCTTATGTTGTATGGCTCACTCAACTACTTCGAGATCTTCAGGTTCCACTTCCATCTCCACCCTACATTCTTTGTGATAATCAAAGTGCAATATTTATGGCTATCAATCATGTTACTCGCCCTCAGTCAAAACACATTATCATTGACTATCACTTTATTCGAGAACTTATCGCTAATGGCTCTGTGAAAATAGACTTTGTTCCCTCCCATCTGCAACTCGCTGATTCGCTTATTGAAGGAGTCATCAAGCCTCAGTTTTTTCTCTTTCGAAGCAAGCTTAGTGTTCTCCCTTCTCCCACATTCAGCTTGCAAGGGGTGATAAGGGAGAATCTCATGATTCTCCATAATATACGCTGCAATCCCTTTTGTTACTATAATATTGCTAATGTATAGCTGTAGGATAATTATATTATTTAATTGTATCCTCATCTTTTCTATTATATAGGATTGTATAGTTGATGTTATTTTAATATATAATGAATAAACTTCTCCTTATAATGGTAAGGAGACATTCAGTTATTCCCACTATCCTGTAAACATCTTCAAGTTTAATCCTTGTTTCTTGGTGCTTTTTTAAAATGTCCAGTTTCTTAGTGTTTTTTTCTTCTTCTTCTTAATTCTTTAAAATGTCCTGTTTCTTGGTTCAATTAATCAAATAGTTCCTGGAAGAACAATGATCCCATACTATATAATTGAAAATGCATGTCCAGTCTATTTGCAGGAATTATAGTTTTGAAGATGATATTTTCATTTTTTATATGCTTTGAATTCCTCCATTGTGTTATCCACAGCTTCCCACGTCCTAGTGATCTACCCATGGCACGTGGCCTGCAATAATTAAGAGAAAGCAAGGCCGGTGGGGTATTTGAATCGGAAAACGGGTTTTTGATCATCAAGAGGTCATTATAGCTACTGTGAAAATTATGAGCTGGCTTTGTTCATGTGTTCAAGAAATTGATGATTGAGTGGGAGTCCAACCA